TGCAATCCAAAGAAAGCATCTGAAATGACTTCCAAGTGTTGCATTAATAGGCGATTATAGGATAGGAGATTAAAAAACTACAGTGTCTTAACTACAAAGGATGTTGTTCTATAATATTAATTCTGCCCACAAGATATTTGTTAAAGGATCTCAGAGTGGTTAATTAGAGTGGTCCCCTTTTACCCAGATTCATCTTCATAACTGTATATTCCACAACTATGTCCAGATAGTAATGCTATTTCTTCAAAGAGGGTCAAAGACATAATCATTACTTAAATACCAATTCCAATTTTCTAAAGACTCCAGGAATTTCTATATGGAAGTTGTTCTCTAGAAGTCATACTAGCTGAGCTTTTGACTAGAGGAACAATACTGTTCCCACTCATGCTCACTAAGTAGAATATCAAATGCATAAATTCCTGGGTGTTATTTGGTTGCAGATAGCAGGTCCCAGTCTAAAAGCTATTCCTTTCTATTGAGTATGCCTAAGAAATACTACATGGTTCAAACCTCAAATTTCACAGCATTGCTTACTTGAATCAGTGAAGGATGGAAAAGAAGGGAGGGAGGACATTGTGTAGGAAGGAAAAAGGTTTAATATTGAGTTTGGTGGGGCAGAGAAGAAAAAGGGAAAACACTGTCTAAAGTTAAAGGTCATTGGGAAGCTGAAGCTAATCATTTTCCTGATAGGAGAACAAAAGAAAATACTTTTTGGTCTTTAAGAGGATTAAAGGGGACCCTAAGTATAGATAGTTAAAAGTAGTTGGTCTCCAATCCATTAATATGCGGGACTGCAGTTTATCTATTCGCTCATCCCCCCCCCCCCCCTTTTAGTAGAAGGATGTCCCCTGACAATTTAAATTCTTTTTTAAGCTTGAGAGAGTCTGTAAGAGCTCAGGACCTTGGGTGAAGAGGCTTTTTATGTTTCTATCATTTAGACCAGTGGTTCTCAACCTTCCTAATGCCGCGACCCTTTAATACAGTTCCTCGTGTTGTGGTGACCCCCAACCATAAAATTATTTTCGTTGCTACTTCATAACTGTAATTTTGCTACTGTTATGAATCGTAATGTAAATATCTGATATGCAGGATGTATTTTCATTGTTACAAATTGAACATAATTAAAGCATAGTGATTAACCACAAAAACAGTATGTAATTATATATGTGTTTTCTGATGGTCTTAGGCGACCCCTGTGAAAGGGTCGTTTGACCCCCAAAGGGGGCGCGACCCACAAGTTGAGAACCGCTGATTTAGACCCTCTTAACCCTTGAAGAAGGTTAACCAGACATTTGTGTTTTTAAGGTCTGTGGACTCTTATCTTCTTGACACCTCCCTCACATCTGATGTTTCTTTGGCTATCCCAAATTCAATCTCCTTTCCTAACATCACTTTAATTTTTGGGGGGAGGTGGATATTTCCTTCACTGAGTTTTGTGCAGTCTTGAGGACTATAAAGCACTGAGCAAGAGAGGAAAAAAGAGAAAAAAACTCATGGACATGGACAATAGTGTGGTGAATATGTGGTGAGAGGGGTGGAGGTGGAAGAAGGTATACGAGGGATGAATAGTGATGGGAAAAAATAATAAATAAAATAAAATAAAGGGAAAAAATAGCAATACAAAAAAATATTTTGTAAATAAAAATCCTAGAAGGATATACAGCAAAGTATTAACAATGGTTTTGTCTGAGAGGGAGACAGAAGTTCTATAGGTAGAATTTCCAGTTTTGAGATTTTTATATTGATTTTTACAACAAATGTATATTTTAAGTATTAAAAATCAGTAAAAAGTTTCCATTTTGAAAAAAACCTGTTCTAATGTTATTCAATAAAAATTTAATGAAATTATTAATAAAATCCACCCCAACCTAAGTTTTAAAATATTCTAAGTGGTTCATTGGAAGCTTCTATAAAGTGTTTTTTCTATTGAAAGATCATAAACAATTTTCTTAAATTGTGATTTTTAAACATTTACAAGCAATGGTTCTTAACCAAACAGTTTTGAGCATGAAAAGTACAAGATGTTGGACTTGTATAACCAGCTCTGAGTAAAATACATCTATCATCACTTTGTGAGATGACTTCCCACTAAACAAACACCTGGGCTAAGAAAATTAATGGATAAACCAATATTGCAAGCCTGGGCTACATTCATATATATTGGATTAGTTTTCATTCACATCATTACTTCTTGTTGAAAAGTATTCCATTTAAAATAGTTTAAGAATTCACTTTTCCCAATATATTGTCACATTTATACATTAATATACTCTGAATAATGTTACACAAAAGCTACAAAACCCTGTAATTATTTTTGAAAAGATATTGTATAATAATCATCTGTGCTATATATTTGCACATGAAAACAAAGCACTATGAGGAACACCAGTTATTAGAACAACGTGTCTCAAAATGAATCATCTTCAAATTTTAAAAAATTCACATCAGGGAAAGTTGGCAAGATCAAGGCATGATTAAAGATAATAATAAGTTACACATCAAATATGAATTGCATCACTTCTCTGCACCAAATTTTATCACTGCTGCCTATGACAACTTAAACAAAAAACCCAAACACATTATAAATCATGCACCCTCACACACACGCTCTTAAGCAAAAACACCTACCAGGTATACAGTCAAATTAAAACTGTAGGAGAGATTTATTAGCTTGTAGATGTTCCTAATTATTTGAAAAACGTGTCTTATGTTCAATAGCAACATCTTTCAAGAGCACATTTCAATCTTAGGAAAGGGGATCAAATCACCATAAAAGCGATCATAGAGAGTGTTTATTAGATCAACATTTCAGGGCAAAGCAAATTTTTGGCAGGTATTGTGGGTTCTTTTCTATAATGCACACAATAGTGCTCAGCCTTTGTCTCTATCTAGAAAGCTTGCTATGTATTGGAGATACAATAATGTAGAAAGTATACTGGGGCAGGGGCAATATAGAGGGAAAGGAGGTAAGATTTATTACCTTCAATTATTTTTGTTAAAAATGTTCCTCAGGGCACAGGCACATAATATATTGTACTTTCCATTACTTAGCACAAATGTAAAACATATCTAAAAAACACATTTCATCTTTATAACATATTAAAATAACAAGTAGGATGTCATGACGTTAATTTGACAGATGGACTGTCATTTAGCAATGTTGTACGACATTAGTTAACAGCAAATTAATATCATCATACCCAATTTTTCTTAACATCTAGAAGCTATCAGATTGAAAAAAATTTCCTAGTACGGTATCTTTGATTTACTTACTAATCTAATGAAGCAAAATAGTTAACTAAAAATATGCAAATGTAATCCACATATAGTTTAAAAATAGCTCCTTTCAAATGAATTAAAAATAAATGGTAAAATAATCTAAAAACTCTGATCTTAGCCACTATCCCCCAACTTTATCCTTCACTAAGGCAGTGATTTTTTTTTGACAAGTTCACATGTACATTATTAATTGACTCATAAAAATTTTCAGCATATTGTACTAGGTTTATTATAACCACCCTTACTATATATTAAAACCAGTATCTTTTCATCAACACCAGCTGTTAAGCAAACTCAAGTGACATAGTAGATTAATGATTAGTCAATAGAAAAGAAAGCAAAAATAGAGTGGCATAAATTTAATTTCATTACACTTTGGCATCTGAAGCCACAATTTATGCCCCACTGACCAGAAATGACTTCTCTATTGTGAAACAGTCTTGATGTATACAATTTTAGTAGCAATGACAGTCACCAAATGAATGTTAATTTTAAAACTTCATATTAAATATAATGTTTTCTGAAATAATTTTAATAGTATGGAAATAAACTGAGAAAATTATTTATTGCAAATTTATCCCCATTGATAACTTAAGTGTTTCTATAGGTACTTTCTGTTAATATTTTTTCATTATCTAATGTACAAAGGGGAGGGGCAAAAGAGGAAGGAGAACTTCCAGCCTAATATCAGGGTTGGAGTCAAAACGTCGGCTTAACTTTAGCTGGCTCTTGAAGCAGGAAAGGTTGCAAAAACATGGTTTTAAACCTTTAGCAGCTACATTCTAGAAAAACATGAAAGAGTGAGGTTATAGCATTAAAATAGACTTGCTTCTCAGTAAAAGGAATTGTGATCATCATAATTTATTTATCAAACAAGTTTTTTTCCCTAATGGAAAAAAAGAAGACCTGATTTCAGGAATGATTGTATCAAACTTAAAGAAGGAATTTGCATGCTCTTTATTTAAAACTTGAAAATTTTACGTCCTTTGAGAAACTAAATCATTCCACACCATATAACTTATTTCTCTAGTTGTCTTATGTATGTTAACTCAGCCACTCCCATTGGATTTTACATTCTTTGAAAGTAGAGACCATATCTTAAATTTCCCCTCTTTCCCTTTATCACATAGTGTTAAGCATAGAATATGTACTCAATAAATACTTGATTATGAAAGCTTAGCAATGTTTATCTGTTAAAAAAACTAGATGTACTTTTTACCCCAACTCCAATCTTACTAGTATTAGATTAAGTGTGCCTTCCTTTTCTGCTTATGACTTATTCCAAGTCTCACTTTTCCTTCATTTCATCTATTTATTACTCCCAATCTTTCCTTTTTCTTTTTCCTCCCCCTCCCAAGATATATATATATATATTTGGAAGCACACACACATATACACAGACACAATACTGAATATATAACATTCTTAGGAAATTATATATAAAATATATTATAATCTTATGTAATTGATTAATCATGAGTATACTTTGTTCCTATCTTATTGCTTTAAAAGAAATCTAGAACACTAAATCAAGTTTTTTTTAGGTTATCTTAAATTGACTTTTTCCACCAAAATCACTGGTCCTCTCTTCTAATGGTTAGTTTTCATTATCTCAGGACACAGCAAGGATTTCACTCAAATGTAACATTCCCTACTTAAAACATTTAATTTTATTACCTTCTTGGTAAATTTGTTTTGCTGCATTTGTTGGTTCCATTGGAAGAAAGTGATGGTTGTTACTGATAAAAGAGGATTTAAAAAATAATTATTGATTTCTCATGGTGGTGTTAGTAGTTTTATCTTAGCTTTAATAATGCTCAGTCATTTCTAGATTATAAATCCTCATATCTTTTGTGATTTATGATTTTAGGATAAAGAAGGTAAATTATTATGGTAACTGATACACAGACCTGGAACTTAGTAAGAAATCTAAATTTAATTCCCACCCTTTTCTAAAAATAAAAGCAGTATAGCTGCTCAGTTTCTGTGTCTATTAGATTTGAATACTGTTGTTCATTACTGATATGTAATCTATTGTGTCTATTGGAAGTGATATCAACAAAAGGGCAAATAAGAACTAGTAATGCAATCATTATTATACTATGCTATCATTTGAACATCAAAATATTTCACAGAAAATTATATTTAGTGATTTGAATCACACTATTGATAAACATGTTGAGGCATATGGAAAGTTAGTATTCAGATCTGAGTTTCTGGCACTAACAATGTGTGGCTGCAGTTGGTCTTTAGCAAATTGCAATGACCTGGATATCATAAATACAAGTTGACTTATGATAAATAATAACAATTTTCAGTGGGTAGAAACTGCATATTTCATGTACCCTAACTGGTGTTTGGCATTTACTTTGTGAAGTTTAAGGTTTCTTAAAATATAAAACTGGACTCAGAATGTTATTTTCATGATTCTTTTAAATATCCATAATAACTGGTTATTTATTTGACATAGAATCACCTACTTCAAATGTAAATGTAGAATTTAAAACATTGCAACTCCCACTCTGCATGTGAAATTCCATCAGAATTATCTTTTGAAATATCTACTTGGTTTTTCTTTTTATCTCAACGATAGGTATTTGTAATTATCCTATCTAATAATAGAGAAACATGGTAATTAACCGTAACTTCGGTACCCTTCCCATTGGCTAATCAGAGAGATATGCAAATTAACTGCCAACCAAGATGGCGGCCGGCAGCCAGGCAGCTGAAGCGAACGGGAGGCTTGCTTGCTCCAGTGATGGAGGAAGCCAAGGTTCCCTGCCTGCCGCTGCCAGCCTCTGAGCTGCACTCTAAGAAACAATGTGGCAATTATAGAAGCTAAACAAAACCCAGAAACCTGCTTTCAGCCAGCCAGGCCTCAGAGCTGGAGTTGCAACAGTATTTCAATTATAGAAGCCAAACAAACCCAGATACCTGCTTTCAGCAGCCGAGATCTCAGAGCTGGAGCCGAGCCTCAGAGCTAAAGCCGGCTCTCAGTTCCAGTGACAGCCATAGAAGGTAAATAAA